TAAACCAGACTTCTCAGATGACAACACTCTGGACTTGATGTTTGACCTCTGCAATTTGGTGCAATGGAACTGGGACATGGAAGACTGGATTCCAGGGATCAAATGGAGACCTGAATGTGGAGGCTTTCAGAGGTGCACCCTACCCCAGGCATCTTACCCTAATGAGCTTGGGTGTACTCATGTCTTTAGGAGACATGCCCTCCTACTGACACCTTTTTATGTATGCCCAGGAAGCGACTGGACTGCCTCCACTATTAGAAAATGTGTGTTGGGAAGACTCCTGATTACTACTGTTCTTTCTGGGGATGTGAGCAGACTGGGAATGGACACTGGATAAAACAACATGGAGATATAATGATCTCCAGGGTGTCCCAGGTACCCCCATCCCAGAACCCCCTATATGGAAGATGCACTCAATTTAGATGTAACCCTCTGATATTAAGGTTTACAGATCAGGGTAAGAAAGGGGACCTATCCTTATTATCTGGGAAGAAGTGGGGATTAAGGCTATACCAAAAGGGAAATGATCATGGCCTTATACTCATGCTTCTAATGGGGATACTTCCTGAGGACCCTCCTTGGATGCTGGGGTCTACTTTCAAGCTAATGCCCATGGGGGACACTGCCTGTATATGCCTCAACTTTACATATCACCACCCCTCCACCATCTCTCCCTAAGATATCCTTTCCTAAGCTACCTAGAGATTATTTAATGGAGACCATTAAGATGGCCTTTATGGCTTTAAACCTTACTCACCCTGAAGCAACTGAGGCCTGTTGGCTTTCCTTACAGCCACTAACCCTCCTAGTTTGAAGCCTTTGGGGTAAATGGCTCTTATAAAATACTATATAAAGCTGATATTTGTAGATAGTAAAACCCTGAAATGGGGGAGATGTCAGGGCTGACTATCTCCCCTTTGGCAGATGTCGAATGGAACTTGTGTCTCATACACCAGACACTCTCTTTTTAGCCTCCCTTATGATGTGACTAATGGGTCTATAACTTCATGGAGGGAGTCCAAAGATCATGGGTATTTTTGGGTCTGCCAAGAGATGGGGGTTACTACCTGCCTGTCTGACCCATTGGTCATTCAGCATAATGATGTTTGCCTGCTTACATTAATTTTCTTTCACTTGATTTACCACATGCAAGAAGAATTCCTGACTCAAAGAGAGAGCCCCTAATGGCCCTGTCCATCACCACATTGATGGGACTAGGGGTGACCAGGACTGCCCCAGGCACCTCATCCCTGGTGATTTCACAACAGGAAATGGGAATAATTCACTCACAATTGACAGTGACCTTAGAAAAGAAGAGACTGCATTGCATTATTTACAAAAGTCTTTGGATTCCTTAGCAACAGTAACCTTACAAAACAGGAGAGGCTTGGACTTGCTGTTTATGAAACAAGGAGGAATTTGTAGGGCACTTGAGAAAGAATGCTGCTTCTATGCAGACCATTCCAGCATAGTTATAAGAACCCTAGATGAGTTAAGAAAAAATATTGATTCATTTAATTCAAGGACCCCCTATGAGACCTGGTTTAATTGGTCCCCATAGTTTACCACACTCATCTCTTCCCTAATTGGGCCAATGGCTATTTGTTTATTGATTTGTCTTTTTGACCCATGCATTCTCCAAAGGCTGAAACTAGCTTTCCAAAAACAGATACAATAGGTACAACTCATGGCTCTTCGAGTACAATATGATAGGCTCAATACATCTCACCCCACAGATGAACTCTTAATTTGAGGGTATTCAGGCCGAAACTCCAAATAGGGGTGGCCCTGACCTGTACCCTCTTCCCAGTGGGCTATTCTGGTCTGGCTGGGGTAGGGGAGGGATATAAAACAAAAGGGGGGGATGTTGGCTCAAAATTATCTCAGGGCCTATACTTCGAGGCCTGTAGGACAGAGAAAAGGCTGGCCCAAGTTTGAAGGATAATCTCAAAGCTACTAAGTGGGGATGAGAGATAGCAAAATCTAGGTAGATGCCCCTCGAGCCAGAGGGAGAGCATGGCTGTCTCTTATTGGCTAGAGGTATAATGTCACTTAACCTATATAAGTGTAAGCTGACACGCACAGTAATAAGCTCAGTTCCTGCTTTGACTTGACTCCCTATTGCCCATTATTGTTCTGCATTGTGGGACTGCTGAATGGGCGGATAGCGCACTCCCCTTTCCCTGGGGAATAAGGCTAAGGAGGCCTGGCAATCAGATTCCAGTTCCTTTAAAGACGCATGCTCATTCTCATATCATCTAGCATCAGGTGCACATGAAGCCCACTGACTAGATAGGATGTTCCTTCTTTCGTAAATTAGCAAACATCTATTTTTCAAAATTTACCAATTTAAAGTTCCAGGGAATACATGCCTGACTGCCTGATCAGATGTGATATTCTTCTATTGATTTTAAAGCAGCAGAGCTTCCTTCTATTTATAGTATCATCCATACTATAGTCTTATGTTTTACATACCCTACTTCAGCAAAGAGCATATAAATTACATGCATCAAGTATGAGCTTCTAGACTGGAACTAGGATAGCTTTTGTCTCCTTATCCCTTAAGTGATAAATAAATGGATGCTTCTGAACAACTGCATGAAACACACAATTTCAGTGCCTTAATGATTCACAGTGAGAGAGATTTTAATATTGTCTTCATCTACTGCTCTCTTAATTTCCATATTTCTTTTCCCAACTTCGTAATGGCTACCTCAATATGAATATCTATTTGATAGATCTAAAAATGCAATACTTTAAGCTTTCTTCATTTCTTTCCCCACCTCCTATTATCTAAATTGCCCATAAAATGGTTTGAATGTTCGTGCCCCTCCAAAATCATAGATCTCAAGTTCAAATGGTAGAAGATGAAGCCCTTGAGACTTTGCCACTCCTCAAAAGTCCCATACCATGTGAGGACATAGCTTTCATTCCTTCCAAATAATGCAGCATACAAATTACTACCTAGGAAGCAGTGCTAAGGCCTTGATTAAACATAATATTTCTGTTTGTGAAGCTTCCATAACTGTGTGAAATATATACACATACAAACACACACACACTCACATAACTCAAGTATTCTGTAGCAACAGAAACTGATTACAGAATACTCTGAATCTTTTTCTCAACACAGTGACGTCGACTCAATTTTCTTGTTTACAAACCTTAACATCTTCATGTCTCCACTGTATTCCGTTAATTTAAGAAAACCTATTTATTCATCTTACAGTCCTCTGATCTGAATTTACTGACATATATTTAAAGAAACAATAGTTTCAAGGACTGACAGGCACAATATATGAAAAAGAATGTGAAGTGTGGTGGTGGTTTGAAAGAGAATGATGGCCCCAGAAGCTCATAAGGTCGAATATTTGGGCCCCCCGTTGGTGGAACTGTTTAGGAAAGATTAGGAGCTGTGGCCCTAGTGGAATAGTCATGCCACTGGAAGTGAGCTTTATATTTCAAAAGCCCAGCACCATTTCCAACATCTCTTGTTCTTTCTACCCCATGTTTATGGATCAAGTTGTAAGCTCTAGCTTCTGTTCCAATGACATTCCTGTCTGCCTGCTGCCATGCTCTCCAGTATGATATGGCGCTCATGGACTAAAAGCTTCTGAAACCACAAACTCAATGAAATGCTTTTTTCTACAAGTTGACTTCGGTCATGGTGGTTTGCCACAGCAATAAAAAGGTAACTAAGATGGGAGTGTTCTTAGTCAGCTCAACTGAGAATAAAAACAATAAATGGATCACTGTAGTGCTTTTCTGAGATTTTGATATATTAATGCTCAAAGAAAAATTCAAGAATGGAGTATACTATACAGGGTTTTTTTGTTTTGTTTTGTTTTGTTTTGTTGTTTGTTTGTTTGTTTTCCTCTGCTACAAATCAGAGAAGACTAATATCCCAAGAATACAGTCAGGTGCAGCATTATCACACATCTCACTTCACTGCCCTAGCATAGGTCTGGTACTGGGGCTAATTCTCAGGTAGTCTCCTCATGCATTTCTGCTGTTATTGTCTCCAATGGCTCTCTGTTTCCAGTTTTATTTTTTAAAGAAATAGCTAGTTATGCCTCAACATGACTTTAGAATTATGAGTTGCTTTTATGAAGCATAGGTTCAAATCCTACACTGCTTGGATGCCTCAATCTACCTACCCCATCTCTCCTCCCAACCTCATTTCCTAACATATTTCATGATCTTTCACCTTCCTGGGGATCGATTTGTTCTGCTCCTACTCTTCAATGTAGCTTCTCTCTGTTCCCAACCTACCACTAAAGAAACATCTTAACACCTATTTCTAGTGAGATCTCTGCTGATAAATTTTCATTTTGGTCTTTGTTACTCCTTAATGTTTCCATAACACTTGCTTTTATCTCTAGTCCAGCAATTGTCATGCAGTGAATAAGAAAAGACAATATTTGTTGAATGAGAAAACTACAAACAGATGAATGACGTAATAAATATTTTAGAAATACCTGAGTTAACAGGAAGCTTTCCTTACTGTAGCTAGAAATGTGCTGTGAGATTCATTTAAGCTGCTACTATGAATAAAACAGTATCAACTTTGCCTAAAAGGAAGCAAGCCTTCCATTTAGGATGCTTCTAATAGAGAATAAATATTTACTAATGTTTGCCTTACAGAAAACTCTACAGCCTGGGGATTCTGTTTAGGAGCTTAGATAGAGGCTACCTGCCATAGCTATCCTTCTCAATAGAAATCAAGCTGCTCAGTACCAGGGAAATAAACATTCTTGGACAATCTTTACTAGAAAAAAAATCTGCAGATAGAAAACACATAAGCCAGTTTTGGTTCTCAAGGTCTCTTTCCCCATTTGGATGCTTTTGTCACAGTTTCTGGTGTAACAAAGGTTGGAAGCTCCTTAAATTGCCAAAATTTAAAGTTCTAGGTATTATCTGAACCAGGAAATCTCATTTCAAGCTCATAAAAAGTTAAAAGTTCTATGTGTTGGTTCTTGATTTTCTTGATCAAAGCTTACCATTCTTGAAAAGATCTATAGGCTGGTACTTCTCTTTTATATTCAAAACATGTGGTTCCGTGAAGGAAATTTGCTGCGAGTCCTCACTTAAAGGTGCACATTTGGAAGTGTCCTTGGGATAGTTAATGCTTCTCAGCGCCGTCCGATGTTCTTTAACGACACTGAGGATTTCACTTTTCTTAATCTCAAAAGGGATATACTTGCCAGTTTTTGGTTTTTGGTGTTTATTTTTAAAAACGTTTATAGAAGTACTTTGAGACTTATTCTGTAAATAAAATAAAAAACGAAATGTAATATTCATTATTTAATAAAATTACATAGTAAATTTTGTGAGTAATTTTTGTCATGATAAAATCATGTCTTCACTAACTGCATTTTCCAAGTGTCGTACGGTAGAAGACATTTCCTGCAGTACACATGACAGCTACGCTCACGTTCTAAAGTCATTCCCATCTGTGAGTGGCACTGTCTACTTCAAAAGAAAAGTGAATTGTAAAATAGTAACTTCCCCCTCCACACAAATGGTCAGTCCCGAAAACATTCATGTAAACAGCGTTATGGAGACTGAACAGGTTATATTTAGGAATATATCTGCAGGTGCATATATGCATATATGCATAAAGAAGAAATGGAAAAGGAGAAAGGAAAGAAAAGAAAGGACATGAATTTGAACAGGAGCAGGGAAGAGCATAAGAAAGAAAGATTTCAAGGGAGGAAAGGGAGGAGATAATGTTATAATTAAATTATAATATCAAAAATAAAAAACACAGGCTCAGAATAGAATCTATTTTAAAATAATTTTCACATTTAATTAATTTTAGCCACATCTGAGAACTCTTAATTGCCAATAAAATTCCCAAACCTGTCTTTGCTAAACTGAAAATCATGCAACATATATGGAGTTTTGCTGATGTGGAATTCCCCTCTGTATGCTGTGAATCTGCCTTATTGCCATGAGTTAATAAAGAAGCTGTTTTGGCCAGTGACTTGACAGAATATAGCTAGGTGGGAAAACTAAATTGAATTCTTGGAGAAAGAAGGTGGAGACAATAAGAAGCCATGTAGACACTGCTGGAGACAGACACCTCCACTGGAGTCTGCCCAAATTTTGCCTGTAGGCCATGACCTCATGGTGATGCATGGATTAATGGAGATGGGTTAGTTTAGGATATAAAAGCTAACTAAAAATATGCTTTTGCTATTGGCCAAACAGTATTGCAAATAATATACTTTCTGATTATTTCAGGAGTCTGGGTGGCTGAAACAAACGAGCAGTCTCACACAACAGTATGCTGCCATGAAAACCATATTGATAACAGTATATAACTTTTCAGATGTGTTTAATCACTTGTTTCTTAATTTTGACCAACATATGCAGTGGAAAACTAATACAGTTCCCAATCTCCGAAATGTGATTGTCCATACAATATCTGCTCTAAATACAGATATGGCTTGTTACAAAAATTCAAATTGTTATCAGTTCTAACTGTTACCAACTCAAGATGTCAATAAGATTTTGGTGATAACTATTGTTTTTGTCAGATAAAAAAATAGGAATACAATGATTGTAAAAATTTCATATAATTCTCAAAGCAAGTCAGATTTCCAAGGTACATGTCTAACCCCAAACCCATTCATCATATACGCCTTTACTAATATGTCTATTACTAAAAAGGAAATATAATTAAAACAATTTAAACTTTTAGAGAAAATTAGCATTATTTATAAACAGTATTTATTATATAGCTAAAACTACCCATGGTCATTTTCAGCAAAAAGGTTCACCAAAAGAAACATAAGCTAAAAACACATTCCTATTTCCAATAAAAGAAACATTAAAATTCTGCTTAAAACTCCTTAAGATCCCCTTCCTTCCCCTGTGTGCCTAAAGATGCACTTGTCACATAGCCTCCTTGTCTTCCCTCAGACCTGTGACCTGTCTGTCTGTGTCACCTTTTCTCCTTTCACCATTCCTGAAACCTCACAACTGTTTGCCACTCTGCATATTCTTTGAGCAAGGCACAACAGTTGTTGCTGAGGATGCAAGATTCAGAAGAGACAGTCTCCCTGCAGGGCCTACAGGCTGGCAGGAGAGCTCTAATGCAAAGTGACCTAAGAGAAGACAGGCACACTCATGTCATGCTGAGTCCACAGAAGAGATACATTGTGAATTTCTAACTTTAGTTTTGTCTAAACAGTGTTAAATGGATATTTACTTAGGATAATAAATACAAATAAGTGTTAATACGATGAAAAATTGTATCAGATGTGCAGACTAAATGCATACATAATGGATAATTTTCAACAGTAAAATTCTTGTTTTCCCATGTCACCTGAGTCAATTGTAATAAAAGCTACTGAAGGCGTCATTCCCTTCCTCAGAGCCTGTCACCCTCTGTGATAAGCAGTACAGTATTAGGTACTTATTCATTTTTTAATAAAATACGCTAAATAATGCAAAGTACTACCTCATTTATTCGTTTGTAATGTTGGGCAATAAGAGATTTTGCTTCTTGCAAAAAGTCTTGCTGGGTGGTTTCTAATACAGGACCTAAAACAGAAACAAAACCACTTTTTAAAAATGTAAGTCTTCATTTTATTTGTTTGATTTCTGAGACAAGATCTCAGGCAGGCATGGAATTTGCACAGCCTCTGAGGTGCTGGTTACAGTAATTACTTATACTTCCTTAATTAAGGTGGTGAAAATAAATGATGAAATGTTGAGGGCAGTTGTGAGTTTTGTGGGATTCTATAGAAGGATGGTCTAAGTGGTTTTTACAGTCAGATTCAAAAGAAATTAATGATTTTTATATAATATCTGCTATTTAAAAAGAAAACCTAATTTATAATGGTCAGGTTGATGAAAGAAGTGACCAGTTCCCATGGTGTAATGGTTAACCCTCTGGACTCTGAATCCAGCTATTTGAGTTTGTATCTCAGTGGAACCCGTTCCTTGAGCAAGAGACCTGGTCAGTCATTCTCATCAACTCAGACCATGAAACCCAATATAAATAGGCCACCCATGCATGCTTCAGTATTGCTGGGGGCATGTTTCATATAGTAAATCCTGAGTATCATCTTACAAAAATTATTAAAATGCATTTGGGGCATAAAAAATGTTGACTCTTACCCTGTTGACTAAGTGACTAAAGCATATGATTATATATATTTTCAGAGTATATTTAAATTATACCTTGTTGATAAGGTAACAATTACAAAGTAAAATGCCAAAGTAAATCTGTAGGACTAACATGCATAAATATTCATACCTAGTGGTCTGTAGTTTTATAATAATAGTGCTTATCTTATTTCTATTTTCTTTTTTTGTTTGTTTGTTTTTTGTTTTGTTTTGGTTTGGTTTGGTTTGGTTTGGTTCTGCAAGACAGGGTTTCTCTGGGTAACAGTCCTAACAGTCCTGAAACTCACTCTGTAGAGCAGTCTGGCCTCGAACTCACAAAGCTTCACCTGCATTTGCCTTCCCAGTGCTCGGGTTAAGGTGGGTGCCACCACTGCATGGCTTCCCTTCTACTTTCCTAAATTTCATAATTTCCTTTAAGCAAAGCTAAAACTAAGCTGTCTGGCATGCACATCATCCTCACATATCCTAGTCTAAGAGTCCATTCGTAAGTATGCCCTTCAGAATTACCTGATTCTGGTATTCAGAAGTATTGCCCAGCTTCCTCCTCTTAACCTGGACTTCATAAAATTTTAGGTTGTACCTCTACATATTAGCTTTCCACTGTGTGGGCTAGCCGTACACTTCTCCTTTGTATATCTTCAAATCAAGGTTCCTCTCTCTGTTTACATCAGATTTTAAGCAATTTCAGAGAACTTGCTCTGTTCAAGTGAAAACATGAGATTCCTTCACACCACCTGAGCTAGGAAAACTGAAACTCCTGTGTTACAGGTGGAAATACAAATACAAAAAGGAATAAGCAGCTCAGAAAAGGTGTGGAAATGTCTGTAAAATTAAAATGCATTTATTCTGTGATCAAGCAATTTTACTTCCAAATATGCATTATAGAAAATGAAAACATGTTCATAAGAGATTTTAATAAGATTGCTTACAGCAACTTGCTCACAAGCCAAATTGGAAAAGACTCACATATGTATAAATAAGAGAGTGGAGAAATAAACTGGCTTATATTCATGTGATAAAACTGTTAACCATCAAAAAAATAAAAGAAATGAAATTATCCACATGCACAGCATGGGAGTGGGTCTTAAAAACAGCATGCCAAGTTAGAGTAACATACAAATAGAACATACCGCACAGTTTCCCTTATATGAAGTTCTAGGATAAATAGAATCCTCTATGCTATGAACAAAACAACAGTGAATCTTTTGGTAGAGCACATTGGGTGAGAAGTCCCTAAGGGGGGGCATGAGAGAAACATCTGAGATGATGGCACTATTCTGTACCCTTGTGCGAGCATGGCTGTAACAGGCTTTTATAACAATAACAAATCTCATAACACCTAAGATTCCTGCACTTCACAGCTTGCACATTTTACATTAACAACAATGCAGTTTAGAGTTAGGGAAAAAACAAAACTGCCCCAGTATGGATGCTCACAACACCACTTTACTCTGTGACATCATGGGCCTCCAGGAACGGTATAATCAAGTCTGAGGACTGGAGATATGCAGGAAAATAGCAACCAGAAAGTAGTCTCCCTCCAAAGTACTGCGTTAGGAAAGGAAGAAACTAAAGCTGCTCTGTTGGGATAAAGAGCACAAACGTTGTCCCTAAAGTCCTGAAGAACTCCACGTGTTCCTTGCTCCCTATGCTGCCTCCCTCAAGGCTGTATATGGACGTGCTGGTAAGTCATAACCAGATTCCCAGTCCTCATGCATTCAAGGGTGTCTGTGTACATCTAAGGACCATTGTTGGTGGCAGTTTTCTCTTTTCAATGAAAAATACTTGTTGAGATTCATGTATGTGTTCCTGAAGAATTGTGTATCACTGGTGCAGACCAAGCAATCTTTGATGTCCCAATCCAGAGCCCTAAGATCGTTGTCCTCACATAGACTTCAGAATATAAAGCTGTCAATTTCATGAAACTGCAACTAAGATAAAATTCTACTTTGAGGGATCTCTAGCCGAGCACTCTCTTCCTGAAGGAATGGAACCGGCTGATGTTCCCAGTGTGGCTCCGAGGTTTGTACTTTTTCTCATTCTATGCCAATCCTTTCCAGCTCCAGTTATTTTCTTCTGTTGTAGGTGAATTTCCATAGTCCCCAAAGTTATGGATAAACGGGATAAACACAAAAGCTATGGAAATTTTTATAAAATTAAAATATATTTACCCTGTGAACTATTTTACTTCCAGACACAGGAAATGAAAACATATCCCTAAGAGATTTAAATAAGAAGGCTCCCAGCAACTTACTCATAATTCAAATTGTAAGGGTCCACATCTGTATCAGAGAACAGAGAAACTGTGACCAATGAAAAGGCAGTATATCTTTACAATTTTTCATAATAAAAACTGTCATCTGCCAGTTACATGATTAACAAGTCTTGTTTTTTCTGAAAATGTGACCTTGTATAAACTATAAAGTGTTCATTTCAGCCAACACTTTAGAGATGATGCCGTGCTCACTCACAGACAAATCTCTGAGCTGCTCTTTGCTGCATGTCTGCTGCCCCCTTGATGCCACACTCCTAGAATACCTTTTGTTGACATTCATTCTAGGTCTGTCATTCTGCTTGCATCTTCGGTGTCACCTCATACACTGGTTTCCCCCTTGTAACTAAAAAACAACTTTTGATAGAGAAGTTAAATTCTCAAGATATAATTTTCTCCCTAGCTGAGCCGTTTGTCGACCTCAGTGTACCTGATCTTTCCATGCTCAACAGTGCCACATATCTGCTTTCAACTATAGAGAAGCCCACATGCACTCTGGGCACCCAAAGGCCTTCTTGGGATTAGCAGGCGGATTTAGATCCTGAAGTCCTGCCACTTCAGGTTAGACCTGTGGTTAAGCCGTGGAAGACAGCAGTGGAACAAGGCTGTCTTTGATGAAATATTTGATGATAAAGCAGCGGAGCAGACAACAAAGGCCATGATTCAACAATTTCCCACGGACCCTGAGGCGACTCTGCTGAGGTCCTCAGCACATACATGCTGTCTTCAAGCTTGCCTTTGTCACCAAAGGTGCTCAGTCAGCTAGTCTGATTTCTGCTCTAAATGAAGTTAGTTTTGAAGGGATAGTTTTCCATGGCAGCATAAGAGAATTCAGATCTCAATACAATGGGAAAGGCTATGCTAGAGTTATTTCTTCATTCCTATGAGCTCCAAGAGTAGGTCTATGTTCAACAGGTGAGGCTAAAGATTTGAACACTAAACTACCCTGATAGTAATGGTCCGTCCATCAATGTTTAACTCTGATAGTAAGGGTTTATCCATCAATGTTTGAGCTTCCTGCTTCTCTGATACAGAAGGGTAAGGATGTAAACCTGACGTTCTTGTATATCTAAGTGCACATAATAACTGAAATGACTAAGTTGTTGCTGCTGGTCCTCCTACACTAAGACATCTATATGTCATCACATTTGTAAACACAGACCCACCACATACAGAGTAACTGAAGAAGCTGCTGTCCTGCTATGTTTTAATTTAGTTTGCTCATGAACCTATTTTATTTTCCCAAGCCTTGGTTTTCTTCTTGGTAAACAAGGATAATATGTTCTATAAAGCTATTAAGGGAGTTGATTTAAATCTTGTCTGAGAACATTTAGCTACCAGACCTAATATATATAAGTTTTCCCAATAAGTAATTATTATTACTGTATTGCTGTCATTGTACAAAATTTTTTGGTTAATTATATATTCATCCTAAATAGGATCAATAAATTATTATTTACCCTGAAGATGACTAATATTTAATTTCACTAATCAATTCTTGTTTTTCAATAACAAAAAGACAAATAACCTCCTAATTTATTTTTAATCTTCTCCTTAGTTATAGACATTTTATCTAAAATTAATGAATTAATATGCTCACAGACAATAAAAATGTCATCTTTGAGATTTTCTGTTATTAAAAACCCAAAAATAACTAGCAAATTTTTAAAAGCAATAATAATATTTTATAATAAACTAAGTTTTAGAGATTGAAATGACCAAATAAACTTACCTGATATATGAATGCAAATATTATTTCCAAAAAAAATAAATGCACACCTTTGATTCCAAAGGTTTGGAGTCACATAAAATAATTTCATACATTAATCTTTAAAAAGTCTCATTCTTCGTAAGACTGGACTGAATGCTAGCAATGTGATATTTCTCACACTGCTGTGATGTTTCTCACACTGCTGTTCTGCTGAGCTACTCCAGTAAAGCTCCAAGCTGAGCTACAGAAGGAAAATCTAGTCATGGAAAGTATGACAGGGATTGAGCAATCTCTTGACTGCATCCAAACAGCCCCAGGGCCTTGTAAACATGTACTTTTCAAATCCATGGCTTGCTGCATTCAGGTTTCACCTATTCCCAATCAAGACTTGATTTTTCAGGAAGGCTTTGCAAAAACTTGCTAAAAAGATAATCAGAACTTTATGGTCACGTGGGTGACGATCTTGCATGTACAGTTCTGACTAAATCTCTGACTGCCTATGTGGCTGATTCACGGAACTCAGAAAAGGCACTCTCAAGCTATGTGTATTGGCACATGCCAGTAATCCCAACATCCAGGAAGCTGAGGCAAAAGGGTTTGAGACCAACCTGGATTATATTTGTAAGATGTAGTCCCAAAATGTAAAAAACAACCCAAAATGTGTAAAACCCTTAGGCACAGTGGGACTTGATTCCATATATACTCATTAAGTCCCCATTAAGTATCCTGTTCAGTGCTAAATGTACTCAAATGTGATAGTAACTGCACCTGTTTCTAGCTACTATCGAGCCTAGGTTTTTTTCTATAAAGAATTTATAAACAAACTCTGTGACATTTAGTAGAAAATATACTATAATACATAACAGCATAAACTACTGCTAATCAGCTCACCATGAAAAATATTTACTTTAAAGAGTTAAAACTTTCTATTGCACCACTGTAGAAATTTGAAACATAAATGTCTCCAGAGAAATAACCGAGTGAGACGGATCACAATTCAAGCAGTGACTTAAATCTGTACTTCATTAATTTCATAAGTTGTGGGAATCCTTCCTCTTTCAGTCAGAGCAGCGCAAACTCTGGTTTTCCATTCTTAAGGTCCTCCTAAGCTTTATTTTAAAAAACATAACCTTTGGCTAAAATAAACATATATCTATCAGGTAAAAACCAAAATGTTTCAATAAACGCTCATGTAGAAAAGGTCACTTTCTAAACAGGTAAAAATGATCAGTTGCAGTCATGACGCTCATAGTTTCTTTCACCAGACTTGTTTAGCAGTGGATAGCCTCACAGCATGAGTGGACAACAGACTTGTTTAGCAGGGGTGGCCT